GTGTGAATGGTGTGTGTGTAGTGTGAGTGGTGTGTGTGTAGCATGAGTGGTGTGTGTGTAGTGTGAGTGGTGTGTGTGTAGTGTGTGTAGTGTGAGTGTAGTGTGTGGTGTGTGTAGTGTGAGTGGTGTGTGTGTAGTGTGAGTGGTGTGTGTGTAGTGTGTGTAGTGTGTGGTGTGAGTGTAGTGTGTGTGTGTGTGTAAGTGGTGTGTGTGTAGCCCCCTGCCTTACCTTAGCCTTAAGAACAAATGACTTGTTATCTGTAAATATTTCAAATGCTTTGGGAATGTGTCTGCTGCCGCCTCTGTTCACCTTCACACTGCGTATCTGGTGCACGTCAATTCCTCCCTTTTCTTCCACCTTGTCCTGTTCCTGTTTAGAGATGGAGAAATGGGTTATAAAAAAAGGAGGAAAAATGACAAACAAGGAAAAAGAAATCAAAAGGATCATTTATAAAATTTAAGAATACAAAAAAATGAATGTTTAATGTTTAATGTTTGAAATAAATAAATGTGCTAGACATCAAAGATCATATAGCACTATAGTATTGTATCAGAAAGGGTAAAGAGGAGTTAAAGATTATGATAAAATGTGTTAGATATAGATTAGATAGCATTATAGGATAGTATGGTAGCAAATAGGGAAAGAGGGGAGTAAGTGACCTAGAGCAGAGATTTGTAGAAAAGGGAGGAATAAGGGGGTAAAGGGACTGAGTGCATTACAGTGTATCTGTCACTGGGGAATGTATAGGAACAATGTTTAAGGAAAACAGATGGTTGTTGGAAAAGTAGGAGAAGAATCCAGGGCGATGGGGGGGAGGGAGATGTTAAAGATTAGAGTTTTATAGGAAGTATGGTAGGGATAAGAGGGAAGTAAATGAGGTAGTGCAGGGATTAGTTAAATGGGAAAGGTTAAGGGGGTAGACCAATTGAGTGAACTGCATTGTATCTTTGACTGGGGAAGGAATAGGGGCATTGTTCAAAGAAAACAGAGGTGGCTGTTGGAGAAGTAGGAGGAGAAGGATTCAGGGGGATGGGAAAGGACTAAGGAAGGTGAAGTATCAAGAAGAATGCCTGGAGGGGAGAGATCTGGAGAAAGACACTGCTGTGATAGAGGGGATTCATTTGAGTATTGACATGGGAGTAGTAGAGGGGGTGGGGTATGTTTGGAGGGTGTAAGAGGAAGGGGGGGTAGAGAGAATTTGAGGAGGAGGAGGATGGATAGGAAAAGAGGGATTGGGAGTTGGATGAGGGAGCAGCGTTCCCTTGGGTCATCTTTAGAAAGTTTTGGAGGTCTTCAAGGATTTCTGGACAGGAGTTGGGTGAAGAGGACTAAGAAACAAAGGTTCTCTTGTGAGGAGAAGGAGAGGAGATCGATTTCTGAGGAGCAGAAGAGGAAGGTGTAGGAGAGAATGTAGTGGAAGAGGGTGCAGTGGAACGTTTAGGTTGCCTAGTGCGACAAATAAAGTGAGGAGGAGGAGTAGGTATCAGTGAAGTGTGAAGATTAGAGTATCTGGAATTAGACTGGAAAATGAATTTGACTGGGGGATAGGGTGAGTACAGGTAGGATAGTTTAGAGTATTGGGAAAAGATACTGGGGGAGATGCAGAAACATCTTGTACATATGTTGAGGGAGCAGAAGGAAGAACTGTTTTGGAATAAATTGAGAGAAAAAAACCCTCTTTGTCATGCTTCTTGTCTGGCCTCACTTAAAGTGAGGCCTAGTTTGAATCTGAGGAATGATACTTCACATTCGAGCTTATAGGCAGAGCAGTCACAATGAAATAAACGTACATGTGCCACAACTGGCACATGTACGTGACTGAGCAGGGCAATCTGAATGGTCAATACCAGGTTGGGCACATAGAGGGCAGCAGGCTGTGGAGCAACAGTGTTTGGCTGGGTGGCCTAAATGGCAACTTTCTGACAGTGACGAGGAGTGGGTCAATATGGTCGGACTAAGTAGGACAATCCAATAATATAAACTTCATGGGGGAGGTCATGTCTACGGAAGCAAATCTTGGCAATACTGACATGGGTCATATGCTGGCCTCTTGGAGGAATAGTGTAACACTGTACTGCCACTGAATCATAATCAGCAAGGAAGGTAAGTAGGTCATTTTCACAGGCTGACCAGTCCTTGTTGTAGATAGGTCTAGCATTTGGGGGGATAGAAACAGTTCCAGTACAAATATTAAGAGAGGGGTGAGGTTCGGCAGGAATATATTTGCCAGTGAGGTCAGTTAGGGTTGATAGTGCACGAGCTTGGGATTCAGATGTAAATGTGACAAGGTATGAACAATCAGAATGACTGCAAAAAGGTAACCTTGCCTACTTGTTTTTGGAGGCACAGTTGAAAGAGAAGGTTATTCTCAGAATAGGGGGCTGTGGGAGGAATCACAAAGAATCGATCCCACTTGGCTGGGCCAAAGAGTGTACTCAAAAGATTTGCATACGTAGAGGGAGTAGGAGGACGAGGGTGAGGGGAAGATGGGGTGGTGTGGAGTGGAGTAGTTCAATGGGAAGGAGGACAATAAGGATAAAGAGTAGTAATTAGGGAAGAGAAGGTAGACATTGAAGAGGACTGTGCAGTAGGAGATTGAGAGGAGAATGTTGGAACAGAGGAAGGAGTGCTTTCTAGAGTTTGAGTTATAACCTGGGTGGGTGTTTTCGAATGGATAGAGTTGTCAATAAGTGTTGAGGAGGAGGTATTAGTATCAGTGGTCAGAGCCGTGGTCAAAGGAGGGGCAGGGGTCATATACCATCAAAATCAAATTTAGAAAGGCTAGTTGATGAAGGGGCAAGACTTAAAGCCCCTATTAAGGGTAAAGAATCTACATTATTGGGCATGGTGGGCCTGAATAAAATGGGGAAAACAAACAGTCTACCCCTCAGGGTCCCCATAAGGGGTAAGGCTTAGGTAATTAACAGAGGGGAATACTGTGCCCATGGCTCCTGGAGGCCATTCATGACTGACACAAAGCCAGCCTTTCATCCTTTCACGGCTCTCACACCATAGGAATGTGATAGAAAGGGATGAAGAAGATACAGAAGAGGAGAGGGGAGAAGAATATACCAAGCAAAATTAGTTGAGGCGAGGGCTGAGGTCCAAGTTTGGGGTGATCCCCTACATTGGGTCTCCTAAGGCCTCCCACGACAACAAAGAACAAGGTATTGGGAGGGTAAAAAAAAAAAATGAAAGCCTCTTAAAAAGATCTTTGACTTACCGTGCCAGCCCCCCTATAGGACAGATGAGCCCCTGAGAGCGTGAAGTACCTGGTTCGCCACCTGCGGAAAATTTTCCACTTGCTCTTCTTCTCTTTGAGTTGTCCCTCTATCACTGGCGTGTCCTCCTAAAGAAAAAGGTATTTAGTGAATGTTGATCTTCATTCATACTATTTCAAAACCAGACTACACATTTTATCCATAAAACATTATTATCTGCTATAAAAGTTTGAAGTCAAGATCTTTGCATGTACCGCTTCACTATCTCCATATTACTCTACAAACAGTCAAAACTCAATAAAAAGGTCAAGAGAAGAGAAAGAAAAAAAAAAAAAAAATGGCCCATTCTGTATCAGATCTACTTAAAATGAATCAAAGGTATCCTAAAATCAAAGGTAATAATGAAGAACATATAAAACACTGAGGAAGATTTCATTATCAAGCAAAACATCTCCCAACCTAAATTTAAAATACATGAATTTCTTACATCGACAAAGCCCCGCGCCCGATCAGGATGGTTACAGAGAAAGCAACCCCACTGCTGTTCAACACCATTGTACTCGAACACACATCAAAACCTTGCATTCGTAACTCATGTAACAGCATGTCCATGTCTGTAAAAATGTCACTTAATTAACGACAAACATCTTAAAATATATACATCAATATAATTCAAATGGATACAAGTGTCTCAATGAGTATAATAGTTTCTGATATTCCAACTAGCGAGATGCATCCATTATTTCTAGTGAGCATCCATCTTATGGGAAAGTACTGAAAATTGGACAGTACATAGATTACCTTTTACTATCAAATTTTCTGACATTAGAAATAAATTAGGTAGCAGAAGTACAATGGGTACTTAATGAAAAAGAAAAAGAAAAGGGAAAACTAGTTATTCACCTTTGCTGATGGGAATGCTGAGGTTACCAAAGTTACAAACGTCTTTGTGTCACATTTAAGTATATCCCAGCAATTCTTGAGACTGCTCACTTGTGTTTCTCGAGTGCTAAGTGCTACAGATGAACGTGCCTGTGAAAAAATCCATATCAGTAATCAGCTTTTATATTATTTATTTTGTTTAATAAATTCCTGTACACAGAACCTTTAAAAAATATTTAAAAGTCACTTTATAAAAAAGAAAAGAAAAGAAAAGAAAAGAAAAGAAAAGAAAAGAAAAGAAAAATATATTACATATACATACATATATAATATATTATATATATATATATATATATATATATATATATATATATATATATATATCACAGAAAGAGAAAAGAAAAGAGACAATAAATACAATATTTTCCCATTGATAATCTAGTAACACATGCTTGCCTACCTGAAGTGCTAGGAACATGAGGTGTATCCAAATCCTTGGGTTTCTGGTTTTCATGGTGAAGAAATGTTTGCTATAGAGGCAGTGCTCCCCTTTCCCCTGACAGGCAAAGTAAAGCTTGGCATGCTTCTTGTTCTTCCTCTCTGCCAAGAGAGAATACACAGAAATGACATTAAAGAACTGTGGCCATGATTCAAAGAGCTGCAGTATCAAAAGTTAACATCGTATACTGTACACAAATAAAATTTGCACTTCAAATTTTGTGCTTTCGTTACAGATTTGGGAAATATTACGACTGAATTACAAAATATGTATCAGAGTACATGCTGAAGTAATCCACAAAACAAATTACCTTCTATACCACAGCGTATTGGTAGAGGAAGTTTGACAAAAACCTTCTGCATGTATGCCTTGATTTTATCAAGATGTTTCTCACAGAAGTGTTGGACTGTATCACGCATAGCAAAGGGCTCAAAGACACTGATTCTCTGTTAAAAAATATATGTATAAATAAATATATACATATCAAAGGGCTAAATAAGCAATGACTATAACATTACAAATACTTTTTTATCTCCTTACTTTCTACTTCATTAGATAAATAACCAATGCTATATAATAATAATAATATTAATACAGACACACAATTATTCTTCAGCTTTTATTAATTGACTTCCATCAAAAAATATTTACATCTGTAAATGACCCACCTGTGTACATGCATTTGTTGTAGTGGTGTGAGGATCATGGGTGATGTGTGTTAATGTGGTATTGGACCTTGTTGCCACTGCATGACTGGTTGTGACAGAACTCACTATGAGAGAGAAGAAATAAAATGATTAAATTCTTAAGCAGTAAGCATCAACATTCATCTAATATTAATCTGTATATCACTGCTGCAGCTAACAGTATCATCATGTCCAGCTGAAATATATATTACTTTCCAAGTACATTAAAAAAAATTTACAAAATTCTGAAGACATTTCATTGTACGACATATTTACCAGTGGGAGAGTGTAGTGTAGTGGTTGCAGTGGTAGGGGCGGGCGAGATGGAGGCTGTGGAAGGGGGTAAAGAGAGTGGGGACTGGGAGTGTCGGAGGTGAGAGACGACACTCCCGACACTGGACACCGGGGCTGGTGAAGTGGAGGGGGCTGTTGAGGGGAATTAAGCGAAGCATTCGTCAGCTGGCATAGCTCCAAACCAAAAGCAAATGAAGCCCAGGAACAGCAAAAGCACATGTATAACAACACAAAATATCATTACACACTTCTCTAACAATAATTACTAGCTTAAGCTGCAGGAATTTTACACATTTAACACTCCCATACAATAAATGTCTGACTATTTTTGCTGACCTAAGTAGCCGCATTACATATGTATGTAAAGCATTTTATACTGAAATTCACACCTTACAATACACATTATCAGTACATGTTATTGATTTTTTAGAAATCCTTTAATAATCACCATACTGCAAACTTTATTAATGCCAAGATCAATTTTCAACCCTAAGATCATAGTTTTCAATAGTGTTCCCAAGCAAGCTTTAGCTTCTCCTTCAAACTCCACACTCAGCAAACTAGAAAAAAATGCACTTACCAAGCTCTCTAGACGATAAGTGCAATGGGAGTGAGAGTGTATGATGCCCTGTGTGTGTGACTGCCGTGCTCTGGGACACATCAGGGGGCAGCAAGGTAGCCTGAGACTGATGGGATCCTAAAACACCGGAAGATGCCCCAAGCTCTCCAGTTCCTTCTCTCAGTGTTGCTAAAGAGGAACTCATGCTTTTTGCTGGGCTTACTGTACCTAATAGGTAGATGATGAGAAGGAAAAACTTAAAACATTACTTGGTAAAATAACCATAAGACAATATACTATATACTTTTACTCCCCTTACAAAAACAGATCATAATCCTTTATAATAATATCTTTATGTGAAGAGAAGTTTAAAATAATTCCATTATTTGTTAACATTCTAGATACTCTACTAATGGAACCCTTAACTTACCAGGCAATGGTGAGACTGTGGACATTGGAACCCCAGCTGGAGGTGGTGGACTTGACACCAAACGTGAACCCCCTATTTGTGAACCCCCAACCTGTGAGCCCCCCATGTGGTGGCCTATGGTTGACCCTGGGAGGTGGCCAGAACTTGGCCCCAAATGACCAGAAAACAGACGGGAGGGAGGTGCTAACACTGTTATGGATCGATTCATATGCAAGCCATGAGATGAACTGATGCGTGTCATGGATTTGTCAAGCTGGATTGTAGAGGAACCTAGACGGCCAGTGCTCTGTGGTACTGTAAAAGAAGTTTAAGTTGCAGTACAGCATATATAAAAGAATAAATAAATCTTTCACAGCAAATCTTAAAAGAACTCTTGAAACAATTACCAAAATACACAGAGATTGCAAATGTTCTTTCAAAGAATAAAAAGCTGTACTTACAAGCATTCAGCCTGGGCATGGACCTATTTGAAGCTGTGACCAGACGTCCGGTGCTACGAGAGGTATCACTATGCTTCTGATACTTGTGGCCAAACTTCCCTGCATTGGCCGTGTTTGAAGTGTGTGGTTGAAAGATGGCAAGATCTCGTGAGGGCAGGCTGATGTCTGTTCGACTGGACCCAACCACGGTTTCTGTTCTATTACCACCCCCTCCACCCACACGCACAATTGTTACGCCTCCAGGTGTATGGTTAACATTAGTATTTCTGAAACAGAGACAGCTCATCTTGGTTGGTGTATTTTGACATAAATCATCACATAAGAGCAGCTGAATAAACTTTCATCATAAAATCCTTCAATAAAATCAGTAGACCACTCTTACCTAATTTCATTGTACTCATTATTTAGCTGCTGGATATACACCCGCGCGGATACATTGGCACGGTCCATGCACTTGTTGACGGCAGTGAGCAAGGACTCTGACTCCACCAAAAGAGCCGGGTACTGGCTACACAACACCTGCACCTCCCTCAGTACTGAAAAAAAGGACAACATCAGATCTCTCTTTCAAGAAACTTTTTCATATTAAATATCCTAATGTTTATTTCTTTACATTCAGAAAGATGATTATAAAAGGAATAATAAAGAGAAAAGAAAAAATAAATATAAATTTTCAAATAAATAGCTGAAAAATACTTTTCAGGCAAGCACAGAAAAATGAGACACAAAAACAATGCATGCAAGCACATACCAACACACAAGCACACACACCTAAACACATAGACACACAAACAAACATGCAAACACGCAAACACACACACACACACACACACACACACACACACACACACACACACACACACACACACACACACTCTCATTCCCACTCATGCACGCACGTACACACGCATGTACGCAACAACACTGAACAACAGAAATAACTGTCAATCTTCAGAAAGAAGCAATATAAGTAAGAATACATGCTAGTATCTTAAAAAGTAAGTAAGCATTTCTTGAGTCAAGAGAAATGGCATGTCCCAAGCACAAGAAACTATTAAGTATTCCATAATTTGTAAATCCTTATAGTAATCTACACATTGTCTGTCTTTCTAAGATAATGATTAGGAAAATTACAGCATACCTTGCCACTTGCAACACCTTACAAGAAAACCTGCATTACATCACTTCCATATAAATCATTAGTTTAGTTAACCAAATGTGAACTGCATTTATGGTAAACCTGGAAGTCACACAAGTCTACTCACCAACTCCCAAATTTGCGGAGTCAACTTTTGGGAGCTGCTGAGCAATGTAGTCAAGAGCGCTCTTGCCCTTCTCTTTGCTGAGTCTGCCCACAGCTGCCATTACCTGGGTTCATGAACAGATAAAACTAACTAGTGATAAAATGAAAATAAAACTACCATTACCAAAGAAATACTGTTAACTGTGGCCTGAGAGTTTTTTTGTGCATGAATGTAAAAACAGAAAGAGTGACAAAAAGAAATTAAATATTGAACATATCAACAATTTAACTACAATAAACATTGAGCACTTGAATAAAAATAGTAGATAACAAACATTACAAAATAAATCAACTCAAATAAACCTTAAAAATCAATATTCACAGAGGGTAAAAAGATAATAAAATAAAACATCTTGGGATAAAAAGAAAAAAGTGCACAAAAATAAAGTGAAACATTCCATGCTGTCAAACAGAATGGTTCATCACCCACCTGTAGAGCTAGTGCCAAACAATGAGGCTGCTGTTCAATAATGCTCTTTAATCTGGTCACATGCTCTGTGAAGGGGCCTGGCCGCCAAGAGCACAACTCTACAAATATCTGTAGCGTGGCCATAGAAGTACCACTTATGCTGAGACACTCTACTAGTTGTGGTAATGATGGTTCTAGCAGCTGTTGGACAGAAAATGGATAATCAAAATCCAACATTTATTTTCTTTTTATGAAACTGCTCACAGAAATTTACAAACACATCTAACTTGGCATCACAAAGAAATGATATGGTAATAAACATCAAAACAAAATTTAACAGAGGTTTCCCCATGTAGCAGCACTAGAAACATTAATGATGTCAACCTCACTATATCGTGACATAACTTTTTTAAGCATAAATACACAAGAATACACCTCAACATAAAAGAAATTAGATTAATAAAATCAACAACCATAAATCTGTACATATTTACCGCAGGTCTGTTCTTGGCAACAAGGGAAAAGAGCATGAGAAGTCCAAGTTTTTCATTGGTATCACACTGCGGCAGAAGGGAAACCAAAGTCATAACATGGTCATGGATAGGTTCCTTCTTGACAGCATATATCTGGGGCAGAACTCGAGACAGGGAGTAGTTGCCTGAAAGAAGAAGAATAGGAGAAAGTGTCAAATACTTCATAATCCTCTAAGGCATGGGTGATGACTTATCATCAGACTTAAAATTCTCCTTTCAATTATCAATGAACAACTATTTTACCATATGAAAGATATTTCAACCTCTTCTCTTCTACATTTTCTATACATAAATACAGGTTCTATTAATTAATCTATCTATATATACATGCAGGCTATTGCTTCTGTATGGGACAAAACAAGTCTAAAATACATAAGTTTGTATCACTTTTCCTGGGATTAGAGGAAACAATGAAAACAAAAGTCAACATCTGCAGGGTGATCTGTAGCCTTGAATTTTCCTAATGTATTCTTTTTATAAGAGTGACAGTATAAATGGCAAAACTGAATGCATATATGCAACCATGAAAGGTAACTTTTTCATATACTGTGCTATATTATAAAAGGTGAGCATGAATCTAACAGGTAAATTAGGCTTCAAATAATATTTCAGAAAGTTCATATCTGTGCAAAATTATCAAAACCAATTTCCAATTTCTACAACATGTCCTAACTGTAACAAAGATAGATCTCTTACAAATGTATCAAAAGAACATCCCTCACTTCCAAAAGATGATTAACCCG